ACGGAGTTCCACTTCACCTAGTGGACCTGTCTCCCTCTCTGGGAGCCCCCCCACATGCCCCAATAAATAACGAGCCAGGATTTGATGTAGCTCGTGAATAGTAGACTTGTGGGGGTCGAGGATGTAAGATGATGATGCGAAAGGGTCTGAAGGTGATCTTGATCAGAGCAAGCCGACCTCCAAAAGAGAGGTGTCTGTGAGACCAACCGGAGATACGGTCAATCATCCTCCTTTTTTTTTACAAGTAGATAAAGATCCAATCACATTGGAACGCCAGGTATTCTACTCTAACAAGGGTTGCACAGTAAAGAGAAAGAGAATCCAAGTATGATGAATTGACATGATAAGTCTTGCTTCTCCAGATAGAGTCAGACGATCTTGCACAAGGTCAATGTGATGAGGTTTCCAGAGCTCAGAACGAATAGCCCAGACATGTAAACATTAAAAAAGCGGTAAGAAACTCGAGATACAAAGCTCAAAAGGCCAAATAAATACAGACAAGATAAAAGAGAGACCAAACACTAAGTAGGCGAGCCCGAAGGTTTATAGTTAAGTAGTAAGACATGGCTAGAAAGGTTGTGATATTGTCAAGAGGCAGAACCTCAAGCTCGAGGGCCAAAGAACTGTTGACAGGACCTTGAGTGGTTAACTCAAAAGTCAGGTAAAGAACAAGAACCTCAGATAGTCAGCTCAAGAACCGAGTGAAGAGGCAGAACCTTGAGCAGGTGCTCAATGACCTCGGTATGAAACGTCATTTTACAAAGGAAAGCAGTTCAAATTGAGTGACTAAGAAACTAAGTTCTCAGTACACAACAAGTAGTTCAAAAGCACAAGTAAATGGCGGTATTGGCCCATGTAAGGAAGCTCGGAGATTGAGAGACCTAATGAGCTTAGATATTTGAAGGGGCCCGCATGGCTCGTAGATAGAAAAAATGGAGGTCATAACGACCTGATTATAGACAAAGCAAGTAGCTTGGGGGCTATAAAGTTTTTAAATTGCAGAAGCCAAAGAAGTTATTTTGGGGAGCCAAAGATTGTGAAAAACCAGATGGCCGAGCAGGTAGCCCAGAAGCTAGAAGACCTAAGGTCACAGAACACCGGGTGGGCATCTCGGGAGTCACAGGGGAAAGAGATGTGCAAAGTTAGCTCGGAAGCTATGGGTGCACACGAGATAAGATTTTAGGAAAGATTTCTAAAAGAGATGATATATATTTGCACAGTTATTTAGAAGGATCAGAATTCTTGGATATGAAAAAAACTCCTTGTCTTGTAGAGTAAGTCATTAAGCCCCCTATAAATAAGGGATTCGGGTTATATTTATACCCTAAGCTCTTAAGATTATTCTCAATTACCAAACACATCCAAAGCACCGGTTTTATGTCTTGAGCGTCGTAGTGTCTCTGCTGGGGCCCCGCACGGCGTTTTGCAAGTCGATTCGGTTCTTAAAGACGGAGGCGATCGAGACGAGACGGTTCGACTGACAGTCTCGAAAAGTTAATATTTTGACTCATCAAGTACAAATGTTGTCTGATCTTAGAACTATCCAACTTTTATGATTTTTTTTTTTTTCGTGGATGAGTGACGCTAAAGATGACGTGCAGTAACCACGACCTTAGTTCTAGTGGTGGATCAACTAGTCTCTGACAGCTAGTAGGACATAAATGAGTTGAGGTCTCCAAACAATCCCCAACAAAATTTGCTTCACGATAACAGTGTACAATATTCACTATTCCTTGTCGCTGCAAAATCTCTTGTATTGCCTGAAATACAACAATACGACACTTTGATTATCCACATCGAACAACAACATTCAGATACCCAAATCCCAAAAAAAAAACTGGAGTCCTTGGAGTAAACCTCATGGCTCTGCGCCAGTGATAGTGGTATCCCTAATATTAATGACGAATCCCCCAAGCCAGTGACCTCCATCATCTCACACAAGTTCTCCCGCCGACGCCTCACAGGTCGACTAAATAAAAGATCCGTCAATATTTATTTTAATCACTCCCACAGGTGGCGCACGCCATAAAATCGAACAGAGTTGCCTTCCCACGCCCAAGCCACCTAAATGCTTCTCAGCATGCACAACTAGATTGATAATATTAACAATTTTGTCCACCTCTCCAACTTTGTGTGAAACCTCAATCTCTTTATCAACAAATAAAAGCCTAATTTTGACTACTCCACATTCTCTATGCAGAAACACCAAACAAAGTCTCTCACCTCTCAACATCCACATGCAGCTTGTTCTTTTTTAAATTAAACACCAACAACTCTTGAAGGTTCAAGCTAAAAAAAATTGAGCCATGGAGACTATATATTGTTCTAAACAACAATTCAATTATCTTAGTAGATAATTCCAAATAGTGGTCTTTCGAACTCGTGGAGACTATTTTTTTTGTTTTTCGGTATAAAGGAGGAGGCTAGAGGCCTGGGATAAAGATGAGGCAAGAACTCGTTGGGGATGAAATACCCCGATAATATCATTGGGGGCGACAATACTCGTTGCAAACCTAACGAAGAGGAAAACGCGAAGCTCGTCATAAAGTCGGCCGCAAAATTAGCTTTCTGATGCACGTGTTGGACCCACACTATTTATTAATTCCGCTTTTGCATACATCCGATTAGTTTATTCTTTCTTGGCTTTTGCTACCTACACATAAACAAAACTAGTACTTCTGTTTTTCCTAATAATGCAAAACAAAATTGGAAGTCACATGTTTGTTAGAATCTGTACAAGTGGAAATTTACATATATAATTATTTTTTTGTTTCATCTTTGACCATCTTAATACTTCTTCCTAATTAAGTTACAAGTCTACGCATTACTAAGCAAAATACACATAGAAACAGAAAAGGTATGATAGATTGATAGCCACTGAGAGTGTAGTGGTCATGAGGTACATAAATACTTGATCTTAATTATTTATAAGCCTTCAAAATTTGCTGATATTGAAAAAAATATTATCGGTTATACAATTATACTTTTTTTTTTTCATATATATATGTATAAATAAAAAATACTATATTTATAATATAAGTATATTTTTGTAACAAATTTTATTATAATTATGTTGTGAAATGTCGTAGTTTTGTTTATATAATTTTCAAGAGTGATATTTCAGTCAGTTATTCAGCTTTTGGTTATTTTTTCTTCTTCCGTTGGTAGCTTTGTATTTTTATTTACACATTTATACATTTTGGTTTATAATAGTTCCTCTATTGTTCCGATAAAAAAAACATGTCTGTCTAACCGATAAGTCTTTATAAAAAGTAATCTTTTTGATTTATATAAGAGAGTAATGCTCTCCTACCCACGGTGGGCACATGTTCAAATGTCCACCGTTTATGTGGCATGCACACATTGGTGATGTAATTTTTGAACATATTAACATCACCAATGTGTGCATGCCACATAAGCGGTGGACATATTAACATGTGCCACCGTAGATATGTGAGTATTATTATTATATAAGATGCCATATGTTTTAAAATATAATATAAAGCAAAGTAATGTTATACAATATAAGTATTTAATTTTATATAAATAGACAATAAATTAATGGATAATATACCCGGTAACCATGGTCTTGTCACATTAATTTCTAAAGTTGTTGATCTTTCGTTTCCATTTCACCATGGCTATTCATCCCACTAATCAGTGGGGTTAACAATTAACTCCAGCAATGGCTGTTCTGACATATGGTGTGGAAAACATGATTTAGGGAAATGCGTCCCTTACGGAACAATTTTGTTATGTCATCATGTAACGTCGGGGATAATTGATCAAACGGTTATAAAACTCGACGGAATAGTTCCATAACGGGACCGTAGCATCTCTCCATTATTTAATAGGCAAGAAACGTTTTACATAAAAATTGCAGTGAGAAAGAAGGGAGAGAAGAAAGCTGTAAAACATGTACCATGAAGGAGAGGGAGAAAGGAGGGTTCTTGGGATTTGGTAACGTTTGATTCAGGTGGTGTTGTGTGTGTGTGTGTGTGTGTGAGAGA